AACCATCCATCACAGCCTGTTTGAAATTGTATATTCCAATCATATCCACTGAAAGGTGAAAATGATATTGTATGGAGTACCGCTCTCCTACATTATTTTTCCAGTTTCGAACACAATAATGACTCGGAACAACCCAGTCAAATTAAAAGTTCACCCATAAGACGCTGCATCATGACACCTTCCCAATCCTAATTCACAAACGTATACTTAAGCAGTTGAGGTTTAAAGTCCTTGATTAAATGTTCAGCAGTTGCCCTCTGGCAGTCCTCAAATCTGACCTCACAATTTCCCAGTCAATGTCAAAGAGCCTCAAGCTACCAAAAGAAAATGCTGGATTTAGATTAGAGGAAGAGTCCTGTAAACACCAGTGATTGCTGTAGTGCACTTGTCGTCTGGTTCTCCTCAGCCAGACACATCTGGACCCTCCTACTTTTTACAGACCTCACCTGGCAGTCGCTTTAAAATCTAGAGTAGTCTGTAAAACGGCTACTGATGTTGTGGATGGTTCTTCCTGGCTCAAAACTATGCATATATCTTGGAAGCTATGTCCAGTTTCCATGAACCAGCATGAGTTTCAGATTTTCGTAATTCTGTGGGCATATCATATGTAACTTGCTTTACCAGTTGTACGTGGGTGTTTCGTTTCTACAGGTGGCTTAAAGTAGCTGATTTTAACACTAGAGGAAAGACAATTAGGCTTAAGCTGGTTTTAAACTATGCAATTTCAGCAGCCTTTTAAGATTACTACTATAAAATCTTGGCAACATTCTTTAACGGCTCTCCAAGGCGGATTATATAAGGAAGATTTCTAACAATAGATAGCTCTCCAATGAAAGAAAACGACTACATTCTGTTTAAGCCATCAAGCAGCTAAGTTCGGGCCTGTGGAAAAAAGTGGGATCACATAATAAGAAACTATACAATAATGATTCATTTTACAAGAGTTTGTAATTCCTGACCTCCAACCAGGAAAAACCGAAGAAAACTTTTGGATTTCCTAGTCTGGAGCTCAGGATGGTCTCCTCAGTTCAGAGTTCAGCAAGAACTTCTTATTTTTAAATGTTATGCTGTGTATGCTCATGTTGGCTTTAGATCAATCAATATGCAGACATATTCATAGGCCATAATCAAGCACACACATTCACACACAACGGACAATTTGGAAATGCCCATCAGCCTACAATGCATGTCTTTGGACTGCGGGAGGAAAAAAAAAAACAGAGTACCTGGAGGAAACACCCGAAGCATGGCGAGAACATACAAACTCCACGACCATACAGGGCAGAGGTGGGAACTGAACCCACAACCCTGGAGGTGCAAGGCAAACGTGCTAACCTTTAAGCCATTCTTCCCCCACTGTGAAATTCACATAATCACATGTAGGGCTGCAACAACTAATCAATAAAATTGATAATTAAAATAATCAGCAAGGAATTTCATTATGGATTAGTTGGGTCTGTGACGTCACTGTGGATAACCTCCACTTCGCAATGGTGGAAAAACATGAATGTTTTTATATTAAGCTCTTCAAACCGACTCGTAAGTGTATTAACGTGCCTTGTCGTGGCAGATGCTGCGATAGATGCGTGTGTTGTTTAATGTGTTCCAGACATGTTTTCCTCAGTCCAGCGTCATAACGGTGATCACACGTTTTTCTTTATTTGCCGTCTTTGGTCACGGTGGCACTAAATCGGCCGCCGGTGATCATGTCCCTCATGGCCGAAGAATTCTTTTCGATTTTTGTCTGCGATCGCAGAATCAGGCTGAAAACTTGCAGTGTGAAAATGGCTTTATGTTGATCAAATGCACTTTTCTTCATCAAGGTATTCCTGTAAAACCAGAGCAGTTTTCTCGCGTCGGCATTGGTCAGAGATGCTTGGCTGTTGTGCGCGTTTGCATTTGCGGCATAAGGAGCAGCGTGAAGGCAAAACAACGGCTCCCTTTTGAAGCTTGCGTCGAAGAGCAAAAGTCCTTCCTGGTTGCAAGTGTTTCTGCTCAGCCCAAATGGAGCTGGCTGTTGATGTAAAACCACACTGCAAGTGATAGAAAGCACACGGGGGGGGGTCATTTTCACTGAGTACCTCTTCAGTTTAATTATCCCAATTAAATCCTCACCTCGGTGTGATTATGTGAGTTAGATGCTGTCTGTGTGCAGTTTCACTTTAATAGTTTTCACAGACAAACTCCTGTCTGGTTGTGTGTTTGTGTGCGTTTTTCTCTCGGCTTTAACAATGGAGCCTTTGTTGAGGTGAACCTACCGCTAACGTGCTCTGGAGAACTGTTGCATCCCAGTGAGCCTCGGTCTATGGTGTTTTCTCTCTCTCGCAAAGTCACTGATCTTGTAAACAGGCAGCTATTAGGTGTATATGAGAAACAGGAGAGAAAGCGGTGTTAATCTTGCTAAACCAGCACACTTGTTGTTGTGGTGTAATGAGCAGCTGTTCTGGGAGAACAGTTCGCATCCCATCAGCCAGTGCTCAGGTCAACTCCATGACACCGTGGGATACTCTACCCTCCCCCACACTCTGCACTGTCTGTTGAAAAACATGTTTCACATGAACAGTTGGAGCCAACACTGAAAACCCAGAAGGTATTTGGTCTTTCCAATGTTGTTAATTTACCTTCTTGTAAAAACACATTGGCTTTTGCTATAACCTCTTCACTAACTTCAGTGGTCAGGCTTGTCCTTACAAGAGTGAAGAATGTTGGTCTGGATTAATTGGTTTCTTAACTCCATTTGCATAGTCTGAATCAAAATGTATACTTTTGGTTCATGTGCTGTTTGGTTTGATGTACGTGTAGGGCTGAAAACATGCTCGTAAAAGTCTTTCAGTCATTGGTAGAAGTACACGGATGGAAAAAGGTCAACAAACCTTCGCAAGGTGAAATCACACAAATCACCCAAGCACAAAGAACACTAAGACACTGGCACGTAATACATTACTAGAATAATAGAATAAATAAGTAGTTTAAACCATTTTTGTTTATTCTTTCTCTTATGTTCCGTTTTTGGTCACGAGTCCAAATCTCCACGACAGTTGTTCTTTCCGGAGCGCTACACTCTCACGTCACAGCTCAGTTTAGTTTCCAGAAAAACCATCTGCAACCCAAAACACACGGTATGTTAGGTTCACTTCCCGCAGTTTGGTCGGTTAAGGATGAAATCCCTTTCTAACTGCGATCAAACCCGGGCCGGTTCTCGGACCGGTTGGTTTTTGGTCCGCACCCGAGTGCGATTTCTACGTTGTCACCTGCGTAAACAAAGCACACCAAAGAGGCAAACAAACCAGGGTTTGAGACTACACGCAGCATATGTGAAAGCACCCGAAAATGTTGTTTACATCATTTCACATTAATCAGTCCCTCCAGGATTTTTGCGTTCGCAGAATTGAAGACGAAATCAAGCAAACTCATCAATATTCACATTTTGTTCAAAATTACTGCAGATTTTCTACAGATTTGGGCCAAGACGCATCAAGTGAATTCATCGCAACGCGCATTCATTCAAAGCAGCCCTCTTTGATTCAAATATGGGTACAGCGAAAAGGTCTTGTTTACCACCAAACATCACTGTGAAAACAATTTCATGCAATTGCAAGTTTCCTAATTCAAGTAGTTTTCCACAAAAAAGTTGCACCAAAATCAAGCATTTTTGGCCGCAACAATCACAAAAAATTACTCTGAAATCCTGGACTGATCATTTCAACTGATAAACATGGTGGTGATGTAATAGGTAGCACTCAGCCTGGTTCACCGCACTAGGTTTGTTGACTGGTTTATCTGTTTTCTAAAAGAAAAAAAAAATGGAGACCTTATCCGTTTCTCAGGCTGCATTATTTTAAGTGGCTAAAACACCATTTGTGTTCTGCTGGAACCATCTACTACTGATGTCATGTTTTTGCAAAGTGCCAGATGAGCTCAGAGGACAGTAAAAACTTCCTCCCTGTGAGACTCCTTGACCAGCCACATGAGTTAATCCCCATGAGACCATATATATCTGTGTGAGAACCTGTGAAATTTGTAATATGTCATCCTGCTCTCTCTACAAGGATATCCGTTTGTTTTTCAAAGAAATGAACACACAGAGGAACATGGTGTGGGTCTCAGGAGGATAAAGTCTGGCCCAACCCAACTAGGGGACTGCAGAAGCAGAGAAAAAGTACATAGCTGTGATCGTATGTTTCTAAATAAGTTGCAGCTTTCCCCATTTCTGTTTTTCTTCCCCTCTTGTTTTGCACTGAAGAATACGGCGTCTGTTGTGCCGCGTTGTCACTGGACTACCCTTCAGACCAGTCTGACCTACACAAGCGATTTCTGCTGGGGAACGTTTGCCGTTTAAGTGTAATGTGCTGGACAGGTGCTGTGTTTTTGAGACCGGGATAATCATGGGACAGTGAGACGGTGAACGAGGTTTTGTCGCACATCCTCTCCTGCCTTAACTGCATGTGTATATGAAGAGTGAGAATGAAAACCCCCCCCAATCCCTAATCTCGTTTGGCTCAATAGAGTCTATAGCGTTCAGCCCCAGAGAATTAGAGCGGAGGTGTGTGCGCCTTCCAATCACACTAATGGAGTACATTCGCTCGACCTCCGAGGAAGTGCCTTCCTTTCCTCTCATCTGAGCTATGTGAAGCAGTTTTGAAATGCCATGTCTGCATTTTGGCTCTTGACAGTTAATTTGATGATGTCACACACTCATGATTTACACAGAGCTGTTAAAACCTTTGTGATATTCAGAATTATTCAGGGACACTGAGGGGCTTTATTAGACTGCATGATAGGTGATAAATTTGTTGGTGAGGCTTTATTTAATAGTGAGAAAGAGATGAAAAGATATTTACTTTCTATTTAATTATTGCCTTTAAAATGTAACCAAACATCAAGAATTCATTTTTGAATTCAGAAGTAAATTTTGTATTGAATCTTGCCGATGCTTATATTATTACTGTTGTTGTTGTTGTTGTTAATTTATTTTTAATGGACAATAGTCACAACTGGGGGGCATGGTGGCGCAGTGGATAGCATGTTTGTCTCGTGCCTCTGGGGTCGGGGGTTTGATTCCACCCTATCTGTGCGGAGCTCCACGTGTTTTGAGTGCTTCCGGTTTCCTCCCCCAGTCCAATGATTGACATTTCCGAATTGTCTGTCTGTCTGTCTGTCCGTCCGTCCTGCAATGGGTTGGCACTCTGCCCTTTATGCCCAGAGTTCCTTGAGATGTATAAGTGGTATAGGATAAGCAGTATGTAAGATAGACGGATGGATTGATGGATGGTCACTAAACTTTAGTATTCCTATACGTATAATGCAATTTAAACCTGTCTGGAGTAGTACCTCCAGTTATTTTAACTCGGGTGATGTTTAGATGAAGTAAAACAGTTATGCATTTATTCTGGACAAATACTCCCAAAACCTGCAAGTTAGTTTAGCTAGCAAGCTTTGTGGCTTGTCAGATCAATGACAAATATTCATCTGCCAAGGTATTTAATTCACATTAGGTTAGGTTATCTTATAAAAAGTGCCAAATCGTCTATTATAGCAATTGAAAAAAGAATTTTATGTGTGCAGAGACGTGCGCATACAAAATGCCAGGTCAAAATGAAAGCAGCGTGTTTCGAAAGTATAGCAGTCTGCAGTAGTCTGTTTTACTCCCCAATAATGTAGATAGTAAATTACAAAGAATTGTCCTGTCTTTGTGCCGTTTAATTAGCTGTCATTTTATCTTCCTTTAGATTTAAAGACTGCGCTTTAATAGCAGTCTCATTCTGGTTTGTGTTAAACCTAATTAGACCTAAGGATCTTGGCATGGCTTTTATCAGACGTTCCATACTGTTTAGTGTAGTCTAGACCACCCACAGAATCTCCCCCGTGTTAAATTGTCTCCGAGTTCATCTCTGTCCAGTTTAATCCTGTCTGGTGGAAGTTGCTGATGCTACTGGGCTTAGACGTCCCGCCCACCGTCCATTTATTCCAGAACATACCACTCTTTCAGTCCTAACTTCTACAGGCCACCTTGGTATCAAATATCACATGAAGAGCAAACCGGCTCAAAACCGCTACACATCCATTACACTCTGTTGGGGCATTTATTAGCTTAACCGAAGCATCTGGTGCCTCACTGAAGCTTAGATGTTAATCAGCTCGTGCTCGCTCTCTCAACAGTGAAGAAGGTAATTGCATTCTAGGCCGCCTTCATTGGCTGCAGTTCAACACCATGTTTGCTCTGTGCGTCAAAGAAGGGAGAAAGAGAGGATAAAAAGAAGTGGGTAGGTGAGGTTGAGGTGTAATGGCAAGGACATAAAGGCTGGGGTCAGAACAGGCTTTTTTTTTTCTCTCTCTCAGAAAGCAGTTTCGAGAAGTGGGCCAAGGCAGTTTGGAAAAGTCCCTCTTTGAAACAGAACAGTCAGACTTTCAGAACAGTCTGATTTTCACAATGAAAGGCCAGTAGTGGCATTTGAAAGAGGTAGTAATAGATATTAACAACACTAATTGTTTAGGAGCATCGTTCTGTGGTAAACTTTTAAATCAAGTAGTTTTTAAGGAGGTAAAATGTTACGATCAAGAAATGACACAAGTGGCTTCATTTTCTTAGCACTATAACGTACTTGAAGCTTACCAACATTTTATTTGCACTTGGGCCGTTCTGTATGATGACACGGTTGCACAGTATTATTAAACCAATAAAAATGTGAATTAAAAAAAAAAAAAAAAAAAAATATATATATATATATATATAATTAGGCTGCAATTGAACAGGAAGCAGGAAAAATGGGGCAAGTATAAGAATCTGAGTGACTTTGAAAAGGACCAAATTGTGATGGGTCGTTCCTGGGTCAGAGCATCTCCAAAACGGCAGGTCTTGTGGGGTGTTCCCAGTATTCGATGGTTAGTACCTACCAAAAGTGGTCCAAGGAAGGGAAACTGGCCATATGCGCCCAAGGCACATTGGTGCATGTGGGAGCAAAGGCTAGCCCCCGTCTGGTCCTATCCCGCAGAAGAGCTATTGTAGCACAAATTGCTGGAAAAGTTAATGCTGCTCATTTGCATTTGATGATGCACACAAAACTCCATAATAGACCAAGCTCGCGGAGCTAAACTGATGGGGGGGGGGGCGACTTTCTGAGAGGTAAAGAAGTGCAAGTCTATGGTGATTAAAAACATATAATATTTAATAGTGTAACAACCCCTGGACCCAAATCTGGAGGCGACAGAAAAGGTGAATTAAGTCAGGTGAAAATAGAATGCTTTGAGGGGGAAAAAATATCGTACTGCTATTGCTCTTGTCTCGATGATTGTTGGCCCTTGAAAACCATTTTTGACTGACTAAACCCAAAAAGCAACAGGGTATGCGACACTAGGGAGTATATGGCACCTTGCAGCTTGAGACATGTCAGATCATAAAGGAAGATGTCGTGGAACCAATATACACACCACCTGAACCATTGCAGCCCTTTTATACAGCAGAATACTTAATTGAACGACCTGTCTTATTTGTCTTTTTTTTTATTGATTTATACTGGTTTTTTTTAAGTAAAATTTTTAAGGTGCTCACAACAGTAGAGAATTACACAGGCAACGAGTTTTCAATGAAGCCCAAGTCCCTTGCAGTAATTTTAATTTTCGTCTGGACACAAAACTGGAAAACATTGGAGTAAAAACTGGTTCCAAAATCGTGAGTGTCCAGTCAGAGTGCCAGCACAATAGCCCTAGTTCGAATAGACGGCAACTAATCATCCTTTTATCTTTTAGTACTTTCTATTACTACTCCTACTCTTTTAAAATTCCATCAACGTTCCAGGCCTCTAGAAGTTAACTATTTAATGTTTCTCAAAAGAACGTTTTGCTGAGCATAAGCCAAGCAGCCACACTGTACCAAAATGGAAACCAGGACCCTCCTATGTTATCTCACTCACAGTTCAAAGTTAGTGATTCTAGTATTGGAGCTCAAAGTGGAACCCACTGCAGCTTGAGGGGGAAGGAAAAGTATCTGAAATATGCCAGGCTAGCACAACTGCTTTATTTTCTTTGCCTAATGTAATATAAGGGGGTGGAGGGGGGGTTGGGGTTGGCCTACACTAGACGTGCCGTCATCAAATAGTTGTGGAACTGTTAACAATGGAGGCCGGGACATCACTGACCCCACTATGTGCAAAAGCTCTTGGAATCTTTCTATCCCGATGAACCATTAGACTTTGGTGTGGGGTTGCAGGGGATTTTAAGACGATCATGTTTTATTCACCCGCTTGCCTGATCATTTTCCTTTCTTATTCTGTGTTACATCTCTGAGCCAGATAGCAGAAGTGTGACCTGCTTTTGGTCAGCCGCTTTGGAGTTCGTGGCTAGTTGTGGTTGGGTCGTTTCACTTTGGTTGATTATCAAAGGTGGAAGCAGGATGCTGGCAGATGTACAGGCAGGATGTGTGTTGGTGTGTGTGGGAGTAGCTATGTACAAGTAATTTGCCCTATTGTAGGAAAAGACGGAACTCTTACAATGTCCATAGATTACATATAAAAACAGCAGCTTCTGTATTGTAGAACTAAAATATCAATGTCACAAATATTTTTGAATTCTTGAGTTGTACAGGTCTTTATAGTGACACTGACCCCTGGTGAAGGTCTGGCAGTCTGTGTGATGCTTTCCTCTCCCGGCGCAGATGGCGCCTGACGTCATCCAACCTTCGTTTACTTACTTTTTCCAGAGCCACTCACTTACTCACCAAAGTTGGCTTGTTCTATATAAATTAACGCCAGCGTAACTATAAAATCTGCAGTGCTGGAAATGTATGCTAGCAAAATTATCCAAAGTTTCAACCCTGTAAGCCATTAACTCATTAAATATGCAGAAGAGTGGTCATTTTCAAGCCATTTCAAGCCAAGTGCATCCCAGTATTATTTGGAAGTGAGGGAAATGTCACTTCTATGTTTTTCGATTGACCGGTATGCTGATCAGGACTTGATTGATGATTTCCTTTTCCATCTCCTTTGGATAAAAGCTGTTACGTGACATCATTACTGTCAACATTTTTAATTCCATCTGTATTTGAGATTTACAAACCTGGTTGTCTATGGCATATTGGGATTTTTTTTTAGTGTGTCTCAGAATAAGGTTCTTTAGGCCACAACCAAAAAACAAAAACCAAAAAAAAAACTTCTGTCTAAGTTTGGATAAGAATATAAGTGGAAATTTAATAAATCCAAGTGTATTGCACAGCGAATGAAAAAAGCAAAAACCAATCAAATGGTGTATCTTGTAAGCCTCTAGTATAGTTTACCATGTGAAGAACATGCCACAGGGACGAGATGGGAATTTTGTTGTTGTTCTCCAGCCCACTTGTCAGGTTCACTGTGTTCGCAACATCAAGACTGTGCAGTAAAGCTGTCTCCGGTTTCTTTTGAGTAGCATTTTATAAGCCTTGCAGACTCTGCGGCACACCCCGTAAAGTGACAGATGTAACCTATACCCATGTTTTATGTTTAAAAGAACACCCAGTCCAGCCTTTTAAGTGCTAACCTCGATTACCCCATTTAAGTCCTCAAGGGACAATTGGAACATGATGACGGACACGAATGAAGGACTGCCACTTCAAAAAAGTGTGTTGTCATAATATCACTTCAGTGGATGAAAGGATGTAACCCCCCCAAACTCCATGGTGGAATGTTGTGGAGAGCTAAAGTATATGTAGTGATGCTGAAAATCCTATTGTGTTACATGACTCAGCATTTTTCCTCTTTTACATGGTTTTGTCTACATGTTTTGTCATATTTTAATGACATCTCAACAGTACTGAACATAAGGATATAACAGTGTAATAAAACCTTGAGATTCCCAAAAGCATTTTAGAGCTTTTTAGGTTTATGAGCAAGCAAGACATGGGACTGGGAGGCACATTGTAGGTTTTGCTTGCCCTGTGGCTTAGTCATTAGATTAATGAAGAATAATCTTGTATCACGATATACAGTGGGGGAAATTGTTTTTCAGTAAATATATTTTAATGAGGCTATTCACATGAAATTTTCATCAGACATCAGTAAAAACTCAAGAAATCTGTGAATCTAAAGAAATCACAACATTAAAG